GAGAGGAGAGGAGAGGAGAGGAGAGGAGAGGAGAGGAGAGGAGAGGAGGAGTATCTGATGGGCATCTGAGTCCTCTGGAAGAGCAGACAAATGCTTAGATCTATCAAGCCACCTCTACAGCTTCTATCCCTGGCATCCCTTGAGTATGCTAGAATGTATGAAGTCAGATGGGAACAGGCTTCTAGTCTTCCTGGTCAACTAGTTTCTTTCCTGATGCACCCTTTTCAGTCACTACTCTCCTGTCACAGCAGTGGGGCAGAGGTGTACAGGGAGACAGATGCAATTAGAACAGAGGGACCCACAGAGCTAAGTGGTGACAAGAGCAGGAAGTATGAGCAAGAGAGGAATCTGGAGTATGTGATAGGACACTAGACATTCCCCAGTAGGAGAAGGAGCTAGTTTCGGGGAGCTAAGGAGACAGTAGTGTCTGGGAGGAAGACCTGAGAATAGAGTGGGCAAATGTCGAGGAGTGCTTCATGTGCTTGCTGAAGGCTTGGCCACTTAGCTTTATGGGACTAGAGAACAAGTCACAGCTGAGAGGTGAAATGGAATCCCAAACACACATGCATGGGAGATTGTATCTCTCCACCATGGAACTGCAGCTGTGACCAACAGAGACAGTTACTGTTAGCAAGACCTTGGATTTCATGGCCCGCCATGTGTACAGCAATAATCCCATGTCAGGAAATAGGTACAGAGTGGCTGCCACTGGATTCCTAGAATTGTACACAAGACAATCTACATTGTCATCCTTCTGAGGGCAGAGATCACATGCCAGGAACCTGCACACATAATCACCTGTCAGAGGGCTTTCCCCAGTGAAGTCATCCCCTACCACAGCCCATTTTTCTCTGCCACAGCCAGGTTTATGATCACTACTCAGCTGGCTCCCTGGCTACAGTGGACTTCATAAGTGTTCTTGCTCTGTGGTCTAAAGGGTGCAATCCCTCACCAGCAATCCCTTTTCTGCTAGCCACAGGCTACCCAATCCAATATCTGCCTTTCTCTCTGCTGACTCTGAAGTCTGGGGCTACAGGGTTTTGTCCTTTGGGATATTTCCTCTGCTACACCCCCCATCAGTGAGGGGCAGGAGACTGGAAATACATGAGCAGCAGCTAATGGACAGGTCCCATCGATTTTTTTTTTATTTCAGAAGACCGTTGTTGTTGCTGGTGCAGATGGGAAGACTGAAGTTAGGGACTTGTGTTGCTGGACATTGTTTTCCAGGAAATAATGTGAAGCTCCATCCACCTGAAAAGTATGATCATACAGTCAGTCTCAAGACACAGAGACACAGACAGACGGAACATGGGTGCATCTCAGAGGACAACTTACAGGAGGGGTCTCTCTTTTCACCTCAGGTTTTGGGGACTGAACTCGGGTGTCAGATTTGTAAACTGCACTTTACACACTAAATCATCTCATCTGCCCTAAACCGTGTGTGTGTGTGTGTGTGTGTGTGTGTGTGTGTGTGTGTGTGTGTGTGTGAACTGGCTCTCATGTAGGCCAGTGAGTCCCCATGTTCTCCAGGGACCAAGTGCTGTGACTGCAGGTGTGCTCCACTGTGATTCTGTGGATCAAACCTAGGCCAGGGGCAGCCAGGCAAGCACTCTAGCAATAGGACTACATTTCCAGCCTTTAAATTCTCTAAGTGACCATCGCAATTGCTAAGAAGAATATAGGTTACTATGTAGCTGGAGCCTTCTGGAAAGGAACATAGACACTCTATAGTCCCCTCCTTTAGAGTCAACCCACATGATCTGTTTGTCCTGCACAGAACAACATCTCATGAAGGCCTCCTGTGCCAGAGACTTTAGAAGATAGCACCCAGCCCACTTTAACATGCAGCCTGTGGTCCCTGGCCATTGTCCACTCTCGTTGCTTGATGGCCTTTCATCTGCAGGGGCCCTTTGGACAATGTCCACCCTCACTGTTGAGCATGCCTCCCGTCATTATCTAAGAAACCTGCCAGTCTACACGACAGGATGTCTCTTACTGAATCCATCTGCCAGACTATAAGGGTGCAGCTCCTCATCTGCTGCATGAGGAACTAAGGACACACAGTTGTGGCTCTGAGTGTCCCCATGTCTCCAGAGTCATCTGAGAGGAAGCGGACAGTGAAAGTGGCAGTGCTTACCTCATTAGGAGAGTTGTCACGTGACCCAGGGAAGCAAGAGAAGAGTCACCAGATCATTGAAGTGCAAAGCTCATCTAAGACTTGTGATTTGTAGCCAAAGGAGGCAGCAGGAAGTAGTACTAGATGTGGGGTGGGGGTGGAAGGGAGTGATGCCCAAGTTCAGTTAGAGGATTTGCATCCTACAGAGTCTGTTTCACAGACCAAGTTTATTAGGACCAGAGGAGAGGTAACAAGGACAGAAACCTGGATTATTTAGTTCAGGAGTTCTCCAGGTTCACAAAGCCTTGATTATCCTTTCCTCAGTGGTATTTGTGACTGACATGCTCCTATGACAAGGAGGAGCACAGTGGTCCTTGGGACCCAGACACACACAGTGGAGAGTCTCCCTTAGGGAAAATGAATGCCCAAAACCTTCACAGACAGCAGGGAAGGCATTAGATTCAGGAACTTGCTCTTGGACATGTGATTCCCTCATGCCAGCCTAGCGTAGGTGAACTGAGTATCTCTTCAGCACTGACTTGGTCTCCTGTGGCTGGGAAGGGGGTGAGGACCTACAGAACCTGAGGGCAGGTGTTGTGCAATATTTGTTTAACAATGCAAAGATGTGTTGTGTTTGTATATCTATGTAAGCATGTGTTGCTGTTTTACCTTGACTGCCCAAGGCAACAGAATTGTCTAAGAAAAAGCTGAATGTCTAATAGCGAGGGAGGATAGATAGGTGGGACATCTAGGCAGAGAGAATAAGTAGGAGGAGGTATTTAGGTTCAAAAAAGAAAGAAAAAAAGAAGCCAGGGAGACATCTGGGGTTAGACAGAAAGATGGGGAGGAAGCAGGAAAGTGGGATATACAGAATGAAAGAAAGGTTAAAAGTCCTGAGGCAAAACAGAGATAAATAGAAATAGTTTAAATTAAGCTAAAGGAGCTGGTTGGACAAGAGTAAGCTAAGGCTGAGCATTCATAGTTAATAATAAGTCACTATGTCTTTATTTGGGAGCTACTTGGTAGCCTAAAGAAAATGCTAGCCAGAGGCTGGGAAAAGAAGATCTGCTCTGTAAGTCAGACAGGAGACAGTGGCTGGTGTCCAGGATGCTGTGGAAGGACTGGCAGGTGGTGGGAGCTTTGATTCCCAAAGTTCAGTGCCTTTACTTACTGTGGGTAGACGGGTCCAGTTGTCCTCACTGAGCATGCTCTTACTTCTTGCCCTAAAGAAATGGGAGACACTGTCACTGTTGTTTGGTTCCTCAGTTGGGAAGGACCCTGGCAGCCAATGTTTCCTGGGAGCTGCTTGGAGTCCTTGCTGTGCATTCACACCATGGCTGCCACTGCCTTTCTTGGTGCTGCCTCTTTTTCGAATCTAACCAGCCCCTCCTAGCCTTTGATCCTTTTACCCCATCATATTTGCTGTTTTCTAGCTGGTGCTGTGGGTGGTAATTTGGTTGAGAATTTACTTTTGGCTTCTTTTCCTTTTGAGGTTTCACATTTGAGGCTGCTTTTGAGGTTTCATTGAGATTGGTTGGCTCATTGTCCTCTTGTTTAATATTGTTCTCAATTTGTGGCTCCCTGGTAAAAGATGAAGTCAATTTATCTCCAAACTTCACAAGGAAAGAAATGACCATGACCAACAGACAGTGGGGTACAGGACATAGGAAGGCAGTGATATGAGGAACACAGCAGACACATAGCAGAGAGAAGAAGATGGAGTCCAGACACAAAGTGAGGAAAGCCTCTTCCCTTTCCCGAGCATGGGAATGGAAGAGTAGGTGGAAGGGTGTAAGACACTTCACCTGCCACGACGGCTGCGCCACAGGAAAACCAGTACAAATATTACTGCAATCAGCCCCATCAGACATTGGGCAATAATGCCAATAATACTCTGTAATGAAAGTCGACGTCCACCTGTCATAGACAGAAAAGAGAAGGAGCATCACAATAAATTCATCCTCACCAAGCAATTGGACAAGAACTCTCTGATTGTATCTGACATCTGTTTGTTCCTTTGGGGAGTGAACTTTCTGTGAGAAGGTAGATTAGGAGAGGTGAGGCAATAAGCAGGGTATTCTCTCCTAGTACTCCTGTAAGGACTGTGTTTCTTCAAGTCCTTGCCTGTGGCAGGTGGGGAGAGAGTGTGTTTTAGGCTGCAGTCTAATTCATATCCACTCTGGCAGTCCTTGGAAGGATCTGAAGATGGGAGAATGTCACATAGCAATTTTTACATTAACATTACAGTTTTTTCATGATCACATCTTTTTCTCATTGTCCTAATTGTTGTAGATGTAAATATTCACCACTCTGGTTCCTGTGGTCAGGTGTTATCTGAAAGCCTATTGAGGCTCCATACCCAGAAAGTCCTATCCCTTGGCCCCATCCATGGAACACAGCTGGTCCCCGTGAACCCCCACCTAACTCTGTCCCAGTTGCTGGCCAGCAGGCAGGGCTGCTTTGTGAAGGCCCCTCCCTCAACAAGACCCCCTACCAGACCCTGCAATCTACACACCCTGCCCCCATACCCATCCTCCTGAGACCCCAGCCACTTCCTAAGGCATGGAAACCAAGCCGGCAGCCCTCATTGGACAAAGAGCTCTCATTGGAACAAGAGTAACCTCCTGAGACAGGGAATCTGCCAGCCCTCATTAGACCAAGAGTGGCTTTTTGAGACGTAGGATCTGCCACTTCTCATTGGACCAAGACAGGCTTCCTGAAACAGAGAATCTGTATTCTCTGACTAGACCAAGAGCCCTAATAAAACCGAGAGTGGCTCTGTGAGTCACAGAATCAACAAGCTTGGGTTCACCCAAGAGCAGCTCCCTGAGAAACAGAATCTGCCTGCTCCAATGAGACCAAGTACTAATATTGGACCTAGAGGGGCCCCCTGAGACACAGACACAACAAGCACAGAGTATAACAATACCAACTCACTCAGACACAGCAACCTCTTATGTCTATTAGAGGAGGAGATGGGCAGATGTCAAGGAAAAAATACATAGAACAACATAAAGAGCAATACAGCATCACCAGAACCTAGCCCTCCTCCAACAGCAAGCCCTGAACATCACAAAGTAGAAGAAGCAGAAGAAAGCAACCTTAAGAACAGCATCATGAAGATGCTAGAGGACTTTCAAGAAAAAATGAAATTGAGGAAAAAACAAACAAAAAATTGGAAGAAATCAATAAAGAACTACAGGAAAAGACAAATAAAAAATGTGGAAGAAAGCAATACATCCCTTAAAGAAAACCAGAAAAAGCAATTAAACATGTGAGGGAAACAATTCAAGACCTGAAAAGGGAAATAGAAACAATGAAGAAGACACAAATAGAGGGAATGCTGGAAATAGAAAATCTGAGTAAACAAACAGGAAACACAGATGCAAGCATAACCAACAGAATACAAGCATTGGAAGAGAGAATCTCTGGTGTAGAGGATACAATAGAGGAAACAGATTCATCAATCAAAGAAAATACAAAGCCAAAAAAGTCATAACACAAAATGTTCAGGATCAGGGATACCATGAAAAGGCCAAATCTAGGAAAAATAGGGATAGAAGAAGGAAAAGAATACCAACTCAAAGGCACAGAAAATATATATTTAACAAGAACATAGAAGAAAACATTCCGAACTTAAAGAAGGAAATACCTATGAAGATAGAAGAAGCCTATAAAAGACCAAACAGACTAGAGCCCACCCCACCCCACAATGTCCCCTGGCCACATAATAATTAAACAACTAAATCTACAGAATAAAGAAAAATATTAAGAGCAGTAAAAGAAAAAGGCTAAGTGAATTATAAAGGCAAACCCATCAGAATAACACCCAATTCTCAATGGAGACTTTGAAAGCCAGAAGGACCTGGACAGACATAATACAGACACTAAGGGAAATGGATGCCAGCCTAGAATAATATACCCAGCAAAACTTTCAATCACCATAGACGGAGTGAACAAGACATTCTAAAACAAAACCACATTAAAACAATACCAATCCACAAATCCAGCCTCACAAAAAGCACCGGAGGGAAAATTCCAACCTAAAGAAGTCAGATACACCCACGAAAATACAGGCAATAGATAACCCCAAGCAGCAAAGCCCAAAGAAGAGAAATACACACTCACTACCACCAAAAGGTAACAGAAACTAACAATCACAGGTCATTAATATCCCTTAATATCAATGGATTTAATTCACCTATTAAAAGACAAAGATTAACAGAATGAATAAAAAAAACAAGACCCATCTCTCTGCTGCATACAAGAAACATCTCAATTTCAAAGATAGACACTACCTCAGAATAAAAGGCTGGAAAAAGTCTTATCAATCAAAGAGTCTTAAGAAACAAGGTGGTGTAGCTACCTAATATCCCACAAAATAGACTTGAAACTAAAATCAATCAAAAAAGGTCAAGAAGGACATTATATACTCACCACAGAAAGATACACCATGAGGAAGTTTCAATTCTGAACATTTATGCCCCAAATACAAGGGTACCCACATATGTAAAAGAAACATTACTTAAGCTTAAATCACACATAAAACCCCACACATTAATAGTGGGAGACTTCAACACCCCACTCTCACTACTGGACAGATCTGCCAAATCAAAACTTAACAGAGAACTAAGGGGCTTACCTGATGTTATGCATGAAATGGACTTAATCGATAGCTACAGAACATTTCACCCTAACAAAAAATAATATACCTTCTTCTCAGCACCCCATGGAACCTTCTCTAAAATTGACCACATACTCGGTCACAAAGCAAACCTCAACAGATACAAAACAATTGGAATAACCTCCTGTGTTCAATCAGACCACCATGGTTTAAAGTTAGATTTCAACAACAACAAAAATTACAGAAAGCCTACAATCTCATGGAAACTGAATAATGCTCAACTTAATCACCAATGGGTCAAGGAAGAAATAAAGAAAGAAATTAAAGACTTCCTAGAGATCAATGAAAATGAATATACTACATACCAAAACTTATGGGACACTATGAAAGCAGTGCTAAGAAGAAAATTCATAGCATTAATGCCCACATAAAGAAGTTGGAGATATCTCACACTAGTGACTTAACAGCTCACCTGAAAGCTCTAGAACAAGAAGAAGCAAAGTCACCCAGGAGGAATAGACGCCAAAAAATTTTCAAATTGAGAGCTGAACTCAATAAAATAGAAACAAAGAGAAAAATCAATGAAACAAAGAGTTGGTTCTTTGAGAAAATCAACAAGATAAACAGGCTCTTATCCAGACTGCCAAGAGGCAGAGAGAGAGAGAGCATCCAAATTCGAAAATTTACTAAGAAAAAGGGAGAGATAACAACTGACAATGAGGAAATCCAGAGAATCATCAGGTCATACTTCAAAAACCTGTACTCCAAAAAATTGGAAAATCTAAAAGAAATGTTCAGTTTTCTGGAAAGGTACCATATACCTAAATTAAATCAAGAACAGATGAACCATTTAAATAAACCAGTAACACCTAACAAAATAAAAACTGTCATTAATAGTCTCACAACCAAAAAAAAGCCCAGGACCAGATGCAGAATTCAATGCAGAATTCAACCAGATCTTCAAAGAAGAGTTAATACCAATACTCTTTAAATTGTTCCACACAATAGAAACGTTACCAAACTCCTTGTATGAGGCTACAGTTACTCTGATCCCCAAGCCAAAAAAGATGCAATAAAGAAAGCAAATTACAGACCAAACTCCATCAAGAACATTGAAACAAAACACTCAATAAAATACTGGCAAACAGACTCCAGGAACACATCAAAACAATTGTCTACTTTGATCAAGTAGAATTCATCCCAGAGATGCAAGGATGGTTCAACACACGAAAGTCTATCAATATATTAAAATCATATAAACAAACTGAAAGAAAAAAAACCACATGATCATTTCATTAGATGCTGAAAGGGCCTTTGACAAAATCATACACCCCTTCATGATAAAAGTCTTGGAGAGATCAGGAATGCAGGAAACATACCTAAACATAATAAAGGCAATTTACAGCAAGCCAACAGCCAACATCAAAGTAAAGGGAGAGAAACTCAAAGCCATTCCACCAAAATTAGGAACAAAACAAAACGGTCTGCTCTCCCCATATTTATTCAATATAGTACTTGAAGTTCTAGCTAGAGCAATAAAATAACAAAAGGAGATCAAGGGGATAAAAATTGGAAAGGAAGAAGTCAAACTTTCACTATTAACAGATGACATGATAGTATACATAAGTGACCCCCAAAACTTGACCAAGGAACTCTTAGAGCTGATAAACACCATCAGTAATGTGGCAGGATACTCAAAAAAAAATTAGTAGCCTTCCTATATACAAATGACAAACAGGCTAAGAAAGAAATCAGAAACATCACACTTTACAAAAGCTACAAATAATATAAAATGCCTTGGGATAACTCTAACTAAGCAAGCAAATGAGCTATATGGCAAAAACTTTAAGTCCCTGAAGAAAGAAGATGAAGAAGATACCAAAAAATGGAAGATTCCCATGCTTATGAATAGGCAGGATTAACATAGTAAAAATGGCAATCTTATCAAAAGCAATCTACAGATTCAATGCAATCCTTATCAAAATCCCAACACAATTCTTCACAAACCTGTATAGAACAATACTCAACTCCATATGGAAAAACTAAAAACCTAGGATAGCCAAAAGAATCCTGCACAATAAAACAACCTCTGGAGGCATCATGATCCCTGACTTCAAGCTCTACTATAGACCTACAGTAATAAAAACAGTTTGGTACTGGCATAAAAACCAACACATGGACCAATGGAACCGAACTGAAGACCCTGACATTAATCCAGACGCCTACGAATAGATGATTTTCAACAAAGAAGCCAAAACTGTACAAGGAAAAGAGAAAGCATCTTCAAGAAATGGTGCTGGCATAACTGGATGTCAACATGTAGAAGACTGCAAATAGATCCATATCTCTCACTGTGCACAAAACTTAAGTCCAAGTGGATCAAAGACCTCAACATAAATCCCGTTACTCTAAACCTGATAGAAGAGAAAGTAGGAAGTAAGAGAATTGTAGCTGGAGTTTTTTCCAGTTCTGTCTGGTCACAGTTAGGAGAAAGCTCTCTCACCCGCCAGTCCCGCAGCCGCTCAGACCCAACTGAATAAACACACAGAGACATATTGCTTACAAACCATATGGCCGAGGCAGGCTTCTTGTTATCTAGTTCTTATATCTTAAATTAACCCATATCCATTAGTCTCTAAGTTGCCATGTGGCTGGCGGCTTATTGGTATCTTTACATGACACTTTCCATGGCAGCAGCTGGCAGTGTCTCTCTACTCAGCCTTCCGGTTCCCAGCATTCTCTTCTCTCCTTGTCCCACCTATACTTCCTGCCTGGCTACTGTCCAATCAGTATTTTATTTATTAACAATCAGAGCAACACACACATACATACAGAACATCCCACAGCAGAGATGAGAAAGTCTTGAACGCATTGGCACCAGAGATTGCTTCCTAAATATAACACCAGTAGTACAGACACTGAGAGCAACAATTAATAAATGGGACCTTCTGAATCTGAGAAACTTCTCTAAGGCAAAGGACACAGTAAATAAGACAAAAATGACAGCCTACAGAATGGGAAAAGATCTTCACCAACACCACATCTGACGGAGGGCTGATATCCACAACATATAAAGAACTCAAGAAATTAGACATCAAAATACACAACAGTCGAATTAAAAATGGGCTATAGAGCTAAACAGAGAATTCTCAAGAGAAGAAGCTCAAATGGCTGAAAGACATCCTTAGCATCAGGGAAATGCAAATCAAAATGACTCTGAGATGCCATCTTACACCTACCTGTCAGAAGGGCTAAGATCAAAAACACTGAAGACAGCTTATGTTGAAGAGGATGTAGAGCAAGGAGAACACTCCTCCACTGATGGTGGGAATGCAAATTTGTATAGCCACTTTGGAAATCAGTATGGTGCTTTCTCAGAAAATTTGGAATTGATCTCTCTTAAGACCCCCTATACCACTCTTGAGAATATACCCAAGGAATGCTCAATCATGCCACAAGGACACATGCTCAACTATGTTCATAGCAGCCTTATTTGGAATAGCTAGAACCTGGAAACAATCTGGATGCCCCTCAACTGAAGAATGGATAAAGAAAATGTGGTACTTATACACAATGGAGTACTACTCAGCAGTGAAACAATGACATCATGAAATTTGCAGGCAAATGGATGCAACTAGAAAAAAATCATCCTGAGTGAGGTAACCCAGACTCAGAAAGACAAACATGGTATGTACTTGATGAAAAACAAAGGATAAGCAGACTGTAACTCACAGTTCCAGGGGGGCTACCTAATAAAGAGGACCCTATGAAAGACACAGGATTGCCCAGCAATGGAGAAATGGATGAGATCTACATGATCAAGCTTGGGTGAGGGGGGTAATGGAGAACAAGGGTCGGGGCAAAGAGAGCTTAGGGGAGCAGTAGGTCCTAGGTGGATCAGGAACAGAGTGGGAGAACAAGGAAAAAGATACTATGATAAATGAAGACACCATGAGCATAAGAAGATGCAGAGTTCTAGAGAGATCCCCAGAAACCCACATAGATGACTCCACTATAGACTACTGGCAATGGTCAAGAGGGTGTCTGAGCTGACCTACACTGGTGATGGGATGGCTGAACACCCTAACTGTCATGATAGAAACCTCATCCAGGGATAATAGAAGCAGATGCAGAGATCCATGGCCAAGCCCCAGGTGGAGCTCCAGGAGTCCAATTGACGAGAGAGAGGAGGGATCATATGAGCAAGAGATATTGAGACCATGATTGGAAAAAGTACAGAGACAACTAGCCAAACTAGTGGAAACACATGAACTGTGTCCAATAGCCTAGGAATCCCCATGGAACTGGATTAGACCCTATGGATAAGTGAGACAGTTGTGTAGCTTGAACTGTTTAGGAGGACCCCAGGCAGTGGGACTGGGACCTGTCCTTAGTGTATGAGCTGGCTTTTTGGAACCTAGTGCCTATGCTGAGACACTTAGCTCAGCCATGGTAGAGGAAGGAAGGGATTGGACCTGCCCCAAATGTAGGTACCAGGCTCTGCTGACTCCCCAGGGAAGACCTTGTCTTGGAGGTGATGGGAATGAGGAGTGTGTTGGAGAGAAGGCTGGGAGGTAGGAGAAGGGAGGACAGGGTTATCTGTGGTTGAT